GCAGCCCTAGCGCTGTGCTCGCAGCAGGGCCGCGGGGGCCAGCGAGGAGCCGCGGGCAGCCCCGGGCCGGCGGGACCTGGAGGCGGCGGTGCAGCGGCTGTCGCTGCGGCAGCAGAGCCACGTCTCCGAGGAGCGCTCCTTCTTCGAGGCCGAGCGGGAGCGCAAACTGCGGCGGCTGAGAGACGGGGCGAGCTCCAGCGGCTTCCTCAGCCCCGAGGGCAGCGTCGTCTCCACTGGGACCAACTACTCGGGGGGCTCGGAGCTCACCGCTGGCTCCAGCTTCTCCCTGGGCTCCCTCGCCTACCTACCCGACAAACTGCAGATCGTGAAGCCGCTGGAAGGTGAGGGGCAGAGGGGGTGCAGAGCTGCGGGTGCTCTGAGGGTCCGACACCCCCACCTGAGTTCCCCCCGGCCGTGTCCCCCCAGGCTCTGTGACACTCCACCACTGGCAGCAGCTGGCACAGCCCAACCTGGGTGGCATCCTGGTGCCCCGGCCCGGGGTGCTCACCAAAGACTTCAGGCAGCTGGACATTGACCTGGAGGAGGTCTACAGCCTCAATGACCTGGAGGAGGATGATGTGGACGCCAGCTCCTTCCAGCTGCTCCCTACCTCAACACCCGCCAAAGCCAAGGAGCGCCCCAGGGGTGAGCGGGGGGTGAGGGGACGGAGGGGACACAGCCCCCGGGGTGCCCCTGCCCTTCTCTCTCGGCTGGCCCTCGCCTCCCCCCGCGCTCTCCCGTCCTGCAGCAGCCTGTCCCTGCCACACCGCTGTCCCCGCGGGGATGCTCCGCCTGCAGCCGCTCAAGGGCCGTTCTCGGGCAGCTGCCCCGGCGGGATGAGCCCTCGCCATTGCCCTGGAGAGCCCCTGCTGCCCCGCGGCTGCCTGGAAGGGGCCGGTCTGGGACAAAGGACATCTCCTGGTGCCACCTGTGCTGGCTGCCCCCTCTGAGCAGGCACCAGATGCAGTTGCTGCTGGAGCTGTGCCCCATGCAAGGAGCTTCCAGCTCAGCTTTGGCTGTCCCGCCCGCCCTCTGCAGTGCCCTCCACCTGTGTCCTGACCCCTTGTCTCCTGTCCCTTCCAGTGTTCCTCTCTGTTAACAACCTCCCCCAGACCCCGTCTACCTTCACCATCACCACCTGCCACATCCTCCACCCCACCACTGCGATCACCACGGTGACACCCAGGTAAGGCGCGTGGCCCCCGCCGCCTGCGCTGCCTGCCCCGGCCCCGCCGTGCCCCCCAGCTCTCTCCTCCTCCTCCTCCTTCCGTGCCTGGGTCCCTGCAGCTCGAGGAAGGGGCAGGCGGGGGGCACCTGCAGCCCCTGATGCTCTGAGAGGTGCCAGCAATAGAAATATCCCCAAATCTGGCTGCTGGGGAGTCTTTGTGCCCGGGGCTGGCACCCCAAGGGAGTCTGGAACCAGCTCCCCTCCTCTGCACTGCAGCACCCTGATGGGATGGAGAGCCGGCCTCGGGTGGGGAGCAGCACCCCGGGCACGGAGCAGCGAGTGCTCCTGGCACTCTGGGGAGCCGACACAGCTTTCCTCCCTCCACACTTGGGCAGCAGCCAGGAACTTTTCGCAGCAGGGTGCTGGGCTGTCCCTTCATTAATGAGCACCGGTGATTAGCCCTAATGAGCCCCCCTAAGGCTCGTTGGGGGTTGGTGTGAGCCGGAGTTCACTGTTAGACAAAACCTTGGCGTCTGGGAATTGCTCGTGGAGCAGTGACTGTGTCCCAATCCCTCCTGGCTGCCGAGGAGCACCCCCAGCACTGCTCTGTGAGCTTTGGGCCACAGCACGGGCGTCTCCTACAGCCCAGGGCTCTTTAGGTGAAGAAGGGGGTCCTGCTCTGCCTGCAGCCCTGCCTGGCCCCTTCAGCAGCATCCCCCAGGCCAGGGCCCCCAGCTGATCCCCACTTCTGCTCTCTCTTCCCCTCCAGTCTGTATCATGCCGTCGTGCCTTCTTGTGGGCCCTTTGAGGGGCTGAGCCTCGGCAGCCCCCCACCAGAACAGGCTCCCCCCACGCTGGCGCTTGGCCCTGGACCCCCGAGCACCCCCCTGGGACTCTTCAGGCTCTTGCTGGGGCGAGATTCTCACTTGGCACCAGGGACTGGATCACGGTGGGCCCCCTCACTCCACTCCCGGGACCCTCAGCATTCTGAGCCACAGCCCTCCCCTGTGCCCAGGGGTCAGGATGGACCCAGGAGCAGCAGCTTCAGCTGCAACCTGGTGGAGAAGTTGCAGCGCCTGGGGCTGGACAAGGTGGTGGCCAGAGGGGAGATGTCCTGTGCCCGGCCTGGGGCACCCAGAAGTGACGCTGCTGCAGAGCCCCCAGGCTCAGGATGAGACACATCCTCTTCCTCACCCATCCACGGGGAAACGGAGACAGGACAACCTTCAGCCTCAGCTCCTGCTGCTGCCCCAGGTCCATCACTGCTCCTGACACCAGCATGGGGGGGCTTTGCCCTGGCTGCAAGGACAGAACCCGGCACTGCTCCCCCCATGTGTGGGGGGTACAGGGGGTGCTGGCTGACCCTGTCCCTGCTGTGGGAGTACGGACCCCTCACAGGAGCCAGTTTCTGGCAATAAAAACTGTTCCTGCTTCTGCTGAGCCTGTCTGAGGAGCGAGGGGCAGCTTGGCCCTTTTGGGACTGTCCAGATGCTGCAGCGAAGGGCAATGGCCAGTCTGAGCTCGGGTGTGTCCTGGGGCAGCCCTCTGGGGCCAGGGGGAGAACCCTGCACCCTGGGCTGGGCCCCTGGCCAGCACCTGGACTGGACTGGCTTTTAAAGGGAATGGTGGTTTAGCTCTCTCCTGCTCACTGAATAGCAATAGTAGCAGCACCCACAGCTTGGGATGTTTCTGGGGGTGCATCTGATGCTCCCCCCAGTTGTGTCCCACCCTCCAAGCTGTGCCCCACGCCCTGGCAAATAAATGTGAATTCACAGAGCAGCTGCTGTGTGCTGTGTCTGCTGCCACGTTCTGTGTGCGTTGCTGTGCACAGCTTGGTCTCTGCCCCTGGGGCTGGGGGCAAATCCCCTCTTCCCCCTTGGGCTGGGGGCAAATCCTCTCTGCTCTTTGGGGCTGGGGGCAAATCCCCTCTGCCTCCTGGGGCTGGGGGAAAATCCTCTCTGGGGCTGGGAGCAAATCCCCTCTGGGGCTGGGGGCAAATCCTCTCTGGGGCTGGGGGCAAATCCCCTCTTCCTCCTGGGGCTGGGGGCAAATCCCCTCTGGGGCTGGGGGCAAATCCCCTCCGGCCGTCCCAGGCTCTCCCCAGCACAGGCAGGATGCAGAGGCCGTAGTGCCAGGGTTTTATTGAGGGAAGGGCTCGCACCGAGGCCGGTGTGCTCCGCCCGGCCAGCCCAGCTACGCAGCTCCAGCCTGGTCCTCAGCGCTGCGGCGGCCGAAGTCCATCCAGTCGGGGTAGTAGTGGTCGTGCAAAGCCTCCATCCCCTCATCCTCACGCACAAAGCCCTTGTGCTTGTTCAGCTCTGCCGGGGCAAAGGCGGCAGTCAGCGCTGGCACGGGCGCCGGGCTGTGTGCCCGGGGGCTGCCCACCCTGAGCTCCCGGTACCTGTGAGGACGTGGGGCAGGAACTGGGCCAGGAGGTGCTGCTGCTCCTGGGACAGGTACGGGGGCCAGTCCCGCCGGGCCAGGCTCGGGGGGTGCTGGGGGGGGTCCCCCAAGGCAGCGGGCCCCTCCACCGGGGGCCGGCAGCGGCAGGTGGCCACAGCGAGGGCGAGGAGGAGCCCGAGGCACAGCGGCACCTTCATGGCTGTGGAGAGACTGAACGGGAGGGGAGGTGGGGCAGCTGCAGCCCCTGGACTGGGACATGCTCAGCCTGTGGTGAGGACGGCGGGCACTCAGCCCCAGCCCATGGACAGTTCACAGTCTCCTCTGCCCCTCCCTTTGGGCCCTCAAGTCCCCTCCATCCTTTTCACCTTCTCTCCAAGTCTCCTCCATCCCTCTCTCCTGGCTGGTCCCCAATGCCCCTAGAATCAAGACAGGATCCATAAGGATCAAGTCCCACTCCTGGCTTCTTGCAAGGATGCTGAAAACTAAAGCACATGGCTAAGAGCATCATCCAGCTCCTCCCTGAACTCGAACAGCTGGGAGCTGAGTTCTCCTCCCCAGGGCATGGCCAGGCCCCAGATCCCCTCTGTTCCTCTTAGTGGGTCTCTGAGTTGCTTTGTCCCTCCCATCTTCTCCTCAGGTTTTCTCCATCTCTCTCTCCCAGCTGGTCCCCAAGTCACCTGCAGGCAGTGCCAGAGCCCTGTGAGACTCACCTGTGGGTTCTGAGGCTCAGCAGGGTGTCCTGGTGGTGTCCTGGTGGGTGTCCTGGTGGTGTCCTGGTGGGTCTCAGGTGTCTCTCTCCAGGATCACCCCAGCTCAGTCCCGCTTTTAAAGGCCCTGCCGGGCTGCCACACCCCAGGGCGGCTCCACACGCATCCACCCACCCCCGGAGGGGCCCTCGGGCATCTGTGAGTGCTCACAGACACACAGACATACAGACAGACACACAGCCACACAGCCACAGCCACACAGCTCGACAGCCGTATCCATACACCCACACACGCAGGCACCGTGTCCATGCACATTCCCAGCTACACCTGCCCAGGGAATAAATATATATTAACAATACAGTATAATGTATAAGATTTTATACAGTGTAAAATACATATATATATGTATACACACACACACACACACACACACACACACACACACACACATATATATATATATATATATAATGTGTAAATTTCTAATAGATAACATAGCTGATGCATCTATGTAAATACATTCAGGTATCCATACGTACACATGGGCACAGGCTCACAGCTATGGGCATGGACACACGTGTGCACATGTGTGCATAATTGCACATCATGGAGTGATGGAGGGTGTGTGCAGTGGGATGAATGCATAAGGAATTATCTCTATATATGTATCCACACATACATGCACATATATACATATAAGCATGCATGTATAGAAACATATATATGTATAAACAGATATGAAAGCTTACATAAATATACATATACACACACGTATTTATATGTACATCTGTATATATGTGTATATACATGTACATACATACATACATACATATATACATACATACATATACATATACATATACATATACATATACATATACATATACATATACATACACACACACACATATACAAACACACACATATATATTATGTATACACACACATATGTTGGACTCCATGATTTTTGGAGGTCTTCCCTAACCTAAATGATTCTGGGATTATCTATATATATGTATATTTGTACACATATATCTAAATGTGTACAGATTTATACATACATGCACATACATATCTACATTTATAAATAGCAATATATATGCATGTATCTGTATAAACACACATGTACATGTACAGAATGATGTGTGTGTACACCTGTGTATTCTCACACGTACGTCTGTGTGTCTGTACACACACACCCATGGATGCCCCCACACCCTGGCAATGAGGTGTGTGCACACTTATTACGTATGTCGTGCCAGGGCTCCCAAGGGCTCTGTGTCCCTGGGGCTGGGGGCTGTGCAGACATGGGGGGCTGTGCCTGTGAGTGTGTGTGAGGCCCCTCACCAGCACACAGCCCTAGAGCCCATTCTGCAGCTCTGCTTCTCTCCCTGCACCTCGAGAAGCTTTGGGGTGTTGCGGCAGGAGAGGGCCCCACTCACTCTCAGAGCCCCTGAAGATCCTTTGCTGTTGCCACCCACCCCCCACTGGATATCGATGGCTCCTGCTGCCTGTATTGACCCCCCATCAGTGTATTTGTAGAGACCATTTGTCCCCCTCCCTCAATAAACCCTGTGAGGGACATCCTGGGCTGGGGCACGTCACTGTCCCATGTCGCCGTGTCCCTAACGAGCCGTGTCGGTGCTCCTCAAACAGCCCCAAAACAAATGGGCTTTGGATGGCCATCGATCGCTCGCTCCGCCGAGCACCTTGCACAAGGAACAAACAAATTGTTTTCCAATTTCTGGCTTTTAATGGCTCAATCTGGACCAAATGAGCCGTCAGGGTGATGGGGACACGGCGACCGCTCCCTCCAGGGCCATGGGCTTGGCAGCACCCTGACGCAGGTTTGCTACCAGGCCCGTGGGCATTCAGGCTGGACCCTTCTCCAAGGCTGACTGCAGGATGGACCGAGCTCCCCTCTCCCCTGCCTGGCTGCGGGTAGCTGTCCTGGCAGTGGCCAAATCTGTCAGCAGCCTGGCAAGTCCAACAGGAAGAAATCTGGGCTGGATGTGCTCGGGCACACGAGTGGCACGGGAATTCTTGGCACAGCAGCAGCAGAGCAGAGGTTGGACCGTGTCAGGCTGTGGGCACAAACGCTCACCCTGGAGTGAATGCTGGCCTTGGTGCTGCCAGCACTGCTCCCCGAGGTACGGGCAGGAATGGGGGTCACTCCAAGGGATGGGCAGGGCTGGAGGTCACTCCAAGGCATGGGCAGGGCTGGAGGTCACTCCCAAGCACAGGCAGGGCTGGAGGTCACTCTGGGGTACAGGCAGGGCTGGAGGTCACTCCAAGGCAGGAATGGAGGTCACCCTCTGCGCACTCCCAGCTGTTTTGCATAATTGCAGCAATTGAGTTTCCAAGAGCAAAGTCTCCCAGGGAAGTGGCAGTGAACTCACTGCTCCTGAGCAGCACGTGGGAGATGGGGGTCACTGTGGATGAAGAGCCAGGACCTGCTCTGGGGGGCTGCCAGGAGCTGAGCAGGTGACCAGGGTGGGAGCAGCACCCCAGGACATCCCTGCCCTCCCTGCTGCAGGACAGATGGGCTGAGGGCAATGGGAGAGAAACCCAGGATTCCCTGTACACTTTCAGGCTTTTCAGTGCACCTCACACTGCTCTTGTGCCAGAGGCACCTGCCAGCCCCCAGAACTGCTGCTGCCCTCAGCCAGTGCGTTTTACTGATTTCATTCTTGCTTGTTGAGCTTGAGCTCTAAATAAAGAGCACGCAGCCCCTGATCCGTGGCAGAGCCTGACCCGGTGGCAGCACCTCCTCCTCCTCCCCAGAGCAATTTCTGGGAAGCAGAAGTGCTGACCCTGCCCACGGGACTGACACAACACGAGCAGGGAATGACTCGACTCGCAGCCACCCACTGCTCCCCTCAGGAGCAGCAGAGGCAGCACCAAGGGAACCTCCTCTTCCTGCAGTGGGCCAGGGCTGAGGGCAACGCCCAGGCCAGGGAATCCCACCAGGCTGCACCACTGCTGGCAAGAGGAGAAGGTGCTCTGGTCCCTGGGAGCAACAGAACCCACCAAGTACAGGCTTTAAAAACCGGTTTTATTTAAGTAACTTTAAATACATTACAAGAAAACATTAGAAATGACACCGAAGCCATGTTACTGCACAGGGTGCGAGGCAGCAACCACAAGGCTCTGCAGCTCCAGGGATGCTCCTTGTGTTAGTCCAACAGCAGCCCTTGTTACGAGTTTAACCCATGGGACAGCTCCTCCACGTAGCTGATACCTCAGGACGCACAGGTACCGACACCTGAGCTGCAGCCATTGTGCCTCCAGGTCACTCTTCTGTCACTCCTTCCAAGCCAGGCATCCCCAAATCCCTCTGCCTCCGGGAGCCAGCACTGCCCAGAGGGACGGCGCTGTGTCCTGGTGCCACCAGGCAGGACACAAATCCCCTCTGCTGGGACGGAAGCACAGCTGGACTGAGGAGCCATCAGGACAGGCCAAGTCCCTGGGCTTAGCTGGGAACAGCTGGAACCTGTGGCTGCAGGCTGGATGGTGCCAGCGCCCGCGCCACCTCTGGGAAATGAGGGACAGCCAGACGAGATAGCATGGGCTCGTGTCAGTTTATTACATCACCAATTACAACTGTCCAGACTCAACAGTGGACCCAAGATCGTTACATTACACAAACCGGCTGGTTTTAAAGTTATGACAAGGGACAGGTGGGAATTTCATGGTAAGGATATCTTCTTGCATAAAGCTCCAGTGGACCACAGGCACTTAAAACCCGTGGACTTTCAGCTGGTCGTCCTTAGCCAGTCCAATCTGCAAGACAGAAAATGCATTCACAGCACGGGGTGATGCCTCAGCACATCCAAATGCTGCCCATACCCGGGGACTCGTGTGCATTTAACAAACTCGGGCTGATTTCAGCGAGGCTGAAGGTGTCCTACCTCCACAAGGAACTGGCAGATATTCTTGCGCTGGTCACCCTGCAACTGAATCACTTCTCCATACTCGGGGTGCTCAATTACAGTACCATTGCAGGCAAATTTCTGCAGCAAAGACAAAAGCTTCCTTAGCACCATAAACATCCCTGCTGGGCGTGGCTGCTGCCTCCCCCCCGAGCCCCGAAACCCCACCTTCTTGAAGGCCTTCACCAGTTTCTTTTTATCGTAGTCATCCGCGATGCCCTGGACTGTGGTAAGGGTCTTCCTGCCGTTGCGCTGCTGGATCCTTATATGGATGTAGTCCTCAGTGCCGGCCGGGAGCAGGTCATCACCCTTACTTGCATCCGCAAAGGGGTCTGCGGGGAGCGCCGTCAGGCCCCGCCCCGCCGCCGCCCCATTGGCCGCCGCGCCCGCCCATCACGCGGAGAGCAGCCCCCATTGGCCGCCGCGCCCGCCCGTCACACCCCGGCCCCGCCCCCCGCGCACCCACCCTTCGCGCACGGCGCCCGCCCCTGCCCTCACCCCATTGGCCGCCGCGCCCGCCCGTCAGGCTCGGGCCCCGCCCCGCCCCCCCGCGGCTGA